ACTCCCCTCCAGATGGTCAGGGAAGTCAGGGAGCCTCTCCAGTCTGGCGTCCCCTTGGCGACATCCGTCCAGGAGCCCTCCAGCTCCTCATCCACTCTGGACGGGCTGCTGTCCAGCTTAGCAGCCCGGCTGTCGGCTGGCGTGCTCCTTTAACCTCTCTTCTGGGTTAGGGCGTCATCTTGCTCTTTTTTGATTCACTCCCTCATTTCATAGGAACATCTCCTCCTATGCTACCTGCAAAGGAAGGCCAGTCTTCTGGAACTGTAAAAGTCTGAGAGTGTATTCTGTTCTCCCATGTGATGGCTAACTTGGTTTTCATCACCGTTTTTACCTTAGACTTGTGAAACTTTGTTCACATTTTCAAAGTGAATTCGGCATAGGTTCTCACTGCTGATGAATAACACTGTATGTTTAGCGCTGGAGAATACGCATATAAAAAGAGCAGGTAAATGCTGGTTTAAGTCATGTGATGTGCAGGAGAGGGGATGTTGACTGTCCTTAACCTCAGTCTTCGCTATAGGAATCTTTGAGAACATTTATTTAAGGGGTAGTGCATGATTCTGACTGTAGAGGCGATAAGCTGGCTCTGTAGTTACTCAGTAGGTTCTATAAAGAGACAGACTTCGCACTGTTAGCTCATGGATTCCCTGTGCCCAGCACAGTGCCTGGAATATAATGGACCTTAGGTGTGCTGGTTTATTCTACTGAAATCCATAAAAGAAATATTCAGAGCAAGTACCTTTTCTCTTGTTGTCCTTGGTATGTTGATAATCAGCATATCTACTGAGTGCCTACGAGATGTTCTTGTAATTGAACAAGCTAGTGTTCACCTCTGTTTTGGATGTCAAGGAAGTGTAGTCTCAGGCCTTGGTATGCGTGGCTCACTGACATTCACCCTGTTTCTGCTTATTAGTGCCGTAATACTGGGGGTTTTTGGTTGTTATTGGTTGCTGTTTTTGCAAATAGGTGTTTTCTGTCCTATAGACTAGAATTGCCCTTTTTTGGTTTCGCTGTTCCACCTTTAGTTTTGCTGCACTACACTGACCTGAAGTTTGGTTTTTGGGGAAGCCACCACTGCTGGAAAGAAAATGGGATTTACTTGGGAAGGAGGCAGGGAAGGAAGGTCCCCACCCTAGCCTTCTTCCTTACAAGGAGAACTGCAGGATGGGAAGTAGAGCCTCATCAGATGGTTTTTAGAGTTTTGATTTCCTTAAAACTCAGACCCAAACATGTCATGTAGACTTCTTCTTTTCGGCCCTCTGGATTTGGGGGCAGAGGGCCTCCTGACCTACTCAGGTTGGAGTAAGGAGAAGGGGAGGTCTGTCCCACTGCTGTGGCCTCCAGGACGCCTTCTTTAGCCCTCTGTATTCTTAGAAACAAAGTCACCTCTTGGCAGGAGTGAAGCCACTCAGATGCCAGCAGTCAGAGCTTGGTTTCAGGTCACCAGCCTTGGAGAGGCAGTGCCTGATTTCCTTTGGCAAACACAGCCTGCCTGTTCTCAGTTCACTTCAGCCACTTGGGCACAAAGGTAACTTCCTCAAAATAGAAATCTTTGAAGACACTGTCTGATGGTCTGTGAATCATTATGTTTTCCCGAACTCTAATTTCACTTCTCAGAATTTTGAAAACACTTCATCGTTTTTCTTTCTTTCTCAAATCACCTTTCAGGAAAAGTAGATCCGAGTTAGAAGGATCGAGGCATTTGTATGTTTTCTTCTGGAGTAACAGCCTGGTTGAGTTTGCAGCAAACGCAGGGGCTGTGGCGCTGACAGATCCAAGTTCTATTAACTCCAGGACTGTTCCTGGAGGTGTGACCTCAGGCAAGTCTCTTCATCTCTGAGCTTCTGTTTCCTCATCTATAAAAATGATTTCAGTGAAATCCACCTGCAGTGTCGCTGTGAGGCAAGGATTACCTGAGGTCCCACGTGTAGAAAGCACGCCCACTGAATGGACCCAGGTCTCTTTCTTCCTTCAGGCATTTCTCACGGCTTCACAGCTTGCTGTCAGCTCTTGGCTTCCTTGGGTTTCTTTTCTCTTTGCTAGGCAGGAGGGACAGCTGGAGCAGGAAAGTCCTTTTGCTTCTACCCCAGGGTCTAGTTTATCTCACATGATAATAAACCACAATAGTAATCTTAGCAGCTATGCTTTGTCGAGCACTCCTTGTATGCTAGGCCCACGCCAGGCCCCCTCTGTGCACTGTTTCCTTTAATCTTCTAACCTGTCCTGTGTTTCAGTCATCGTTCCCCATTGTACACATGAGAAAACTGAGATTTCAGGCTCTTGTCTGGCTCCAGAGCGCTTTGCACTCAGCACCTCGGTTTTCAGCTATACCTACATGGTCCCCCTTGGGGGTAGATTTTACCCCCCATGCACCTTCCTGATCTGTTGACACGTGAAGGTCCGGTCTGGGTTCCCCGAGTTCTCATGCTCTGAACTTCACCCCAGCTCAGCCCCAACCCGTGGCGGCTGGCAAGGCGGGAGAGCTGGGAGCGGGGGGCTCAGCAGAGAGACTCAGATTCTATTCACAGGTGCCCCAGCGCTCTGCTTGTATTCCATTCTTTCCCATAAACTCACTGCCTGCCAGCGGCACGAGAAATGACGGAAACGGTACCTCCCAGAGCCGCGTAGGGCCGGAGCTTGCTGCAAGCAGAGGTTAGCAATAAGGGTTGGATGGACGGGCGTGCAGATGGCCAGTCGTCTGGATAACGAAGGAATGATGCCTTTTGCCCTCTGTGCCGCCCTGGTGGGTAGCTAGAGGGCGAACAGTGGGCCAGACCCGAGGCACAGCCTCCTCGTTCACCGCCTCACCTTCGAGGGCCGTGCCCCGTGTCTGTGCCCCCCGCCTCACCCAGGTTGTTTGCTCTCCTTTTACCCGCTTGTGAGACTGGACGCTGCGTCACAGCAGTGCCTCATGCATTTCTGTGGGCTTTGGTTTGCTTCTGATTGAAAAGGTGATGTGACAGCATTTGAGAAAATTTACCAAAAGATCAGAGGTGCTCCACCCTACCCTAAAACCTCCCCTCCCTCACGTGGCAGCAGCCTTCAACTTTGTTTTAAAAATTTCCTTCCAGCACAGTGTACTCTGTCCTCACCGTGTCCTGGTCTCAGTCCGCCTTGAAGTCCACCAGGCGGTGGGAACAGGGCTGGGTCCTTGTCAGAGCTCCAAGTTCCTCTTTTTCATTTCACCTGATACCTCTGAGGAGTTTTGAAGCCTTGGTAAGAGACCGCTCTGATGTTGAGTAGGAGAGGGCTTCACCGTCTCCGGGAAGCTGGACCACGGCCACACTCCTTGTGTGTGCAGTGCTGGCGTCGGGTGAGGTACTGGGCCGCCTGCCCTTCAGCATTGTGACCGGAGAGCAGGTCATGGTCATAAACCAGGACTTATTTGCAGGGTTTTGTGACCAAATGAGTTCGAGAAAGTGTGGGTTATACAAAGTTAGATAATGTTTCTCTACTGCAGTGCTTTTAACATGCTAACTTTCACTGTGAACCTCAGAGAAGAAGAGTTTTATAAGAAATAATAGTAGCTAATGTTTAAGTGTCTACTCTTTGTTGAATGTAGGAGCGCCAGGGAGCTCATAACATGCAGTGTCTCATTTAAACCCTATAGCAGCCCTAGGAGGTAAATGCCATCACTGTCCCCACGTTAGAGACTGAGGACACTTACCCAGTGTCAGGGTTCATTTGCAGTGGGCACAGTTTTGTGCTGGAGCAGGCTGCGTCCAGACTCCCTGTCTTAACCAGTACACAATACTGCTGGTGGGCAGCTTGAAGCAGCCTTCTTTCATTTGGGATTTCTCAGTCCCTGTGGGACTAGTACTTGGAAAGCCTCTAGCTGGAGAAGTGCCAATGTAAACTTGAAACATGAGAAAGCCTCCTGAGTGCATGGTGACATGAGCTTTCTCCTGTGGCCCCTGCCGGGTGCTGGCTCCCTGGAGCCCCCGCACCCCAGATGTCTCTGTCAGTCTCACGTTAGGTTGGTGCTACTGCCCTTCCAGCAAGAGAGGCAGGCGCATGGGGTCCTGGGGACAGCGTCTAGGCCAGTGGTTCTTCAACTTGGCTGCATATTGGAATTCATCTGAGGAGCCTTAAGAATTACCGATGCCAGGCCTCATTCTCAGAGATGCCGCTTTGGCCTGAGTGGGGCCCAGGCAGCAGTGAGTGAAATGCTCCTTGGTGCCTGTGCTGCAGCCTGGGTGAGAACCACCGGTTGGACCCACTCCTTTGTGGTCCAGTTACCACATCTTGTACCAAAGCAAAGAGAAGAAAGAATTTCCTTCATAAGTTAAAAGTTAACTTTTGTGTGAATGAGTGACTAGTATTCTTTTTTTTCCTTTTCTGCTAGTCCCGTATAGCACTGTACCATGAATCCTCTCCATGATCTGTACTCTTAACCCTAACTTGGCACTGACAGTCACATACCGACCAGCCCTTATGCAGAAGTTTTAGCTTGGTTACTAAGGGGGTTCGTGAAAAAGGCACTCAGTTCTCATTTTGCTGGAAGAGGTAGGTAGGTACCTTTGCTCACAGCACTGCGTTCATGCTGTTGCTGTGGGAGCTGTAGTGACAAGTGCATTCTGGGTGATGGCGTTATCTAGCCACGCCCCTACTTCTTGTTGGGCTTACACGGTAAATAATGGGCTCCACAGGGTGTCACTGTTGTTTTCAGTTGAGTCAGGTGAAACTGGGTCACAGAATTGCTTCTTGGTTTGGTAGCTGGGTAACTTAACCTGTTGTTTCCTACTGTCTCTACAAAAAGCCTTTTTCAAGCATTTGGGAAAAAATACATGCCTTTGTCAGTAATAGACAGTGATTGTTTTAATCCTGAGCTGTAATGGCTTTTCTTAATATCTTCATCTCTTCGAAGGCACAGACCTAGAGGCTATTCAAGGTGGAATTCCAGGATTTCGAGACTACCACCTTCTATCCAGCTCAACATGGACGTGTCCCAGGTTGATTAAAGAGTTTATAATGGGAATGTTTCTGTTGGTTTCTTGCAGTACAACAAACACCTCTTCGTGCACATCGGGCATGCCAACCATTCTTACAGTGACCCATTGCTCGAATCAGTGGACATTCGTCAGATTTATGACAAGTTTCCTGAAAAGAAAGGTGGCTTAAAGGAACTGTTTGGAAAGGGCCCTCAAAATGCCTTCTTCCTCGTAAAATTCTGGGTGAGTAAGACCTTTTGGTGATTTCAGTTGTTTTTGTCTGAATGGTTGAGTCCCATGTGTGAGGCAGAGCAGCACGGTGGCTGTGGACTCGCGCTGACTGATCTGCAGGCTCGCCAAGGGACCACAGACTCACACCCGTGGGCCGGCCCCATGCTGGCCTCGCGGCCCATCCACATGGTGACCCAGGCGGCATTTGCTGTCCCTGCCAAAGTGAGACAGGCGGTCCCTCGGGCTTCAGGGCTCGCTCATGCAATGACAAGAGACTTTGCAGATGGCTTGAGTCATAATGGCAGACTTGGGGCACTAGACCCTCTTTCTGTTTGTTCTCACTCCGTTAAGCGAAGCAACCTGTAAATTCCACTGGAGCGTAGGACCTGAGGCACAGAAGGGGCTTAGATGGAGATAGGGACGAGTTTCAAGATTTTACAGGTGTCAGAGAGAATACAAAATGGCTTTGCCCAGTAAGTGCCTCATTTGTGCTCTAAAACACCAAGGGCACATTCCCCCAGTTGCGGGGGTCTGCTCGTGTCCCCTGGCCTCTGAGAAGAGCCTTGCCATCCCTTCTTCACTTGTCAAGCTTGGGCCAAGGGGTTGCTGTCAGGTCGGGGGTGTTCCAGCAGGCGGAAGGCTAATGCACGTGTATTGGAGGCTTAGACCAGGTGACTGCTGGCACTGAGTGTTTATAACTCCTCAGTCTCTATGAGAATAAAAAGAAAGTGGTTTCAAATGCTTCTTAGCATGACGTTAAAGGCCTAGCTCCAGCTGGTTCCTGGCATTTTCCCTGCTGTGTGTCCTGCAACCAGCTTTTGTCTACTTCTGGGTGCACTTTCCCCCTTTTCTTTCCTTTCCTTTTTTCTTTTTCTTTTCGTTTCTTCCTTCCTTCCTTCCTTTTATTTTTTTTAATGGAGCTACTGGAAATTGAACCCAGGACCACGTGCATGCTAAGCATGTGCTCTGCCACTGAGCTATACCCCTCTCTGCCCCCCTTTTAAAAATATTCTTTATTTGTATTCTTGTTTAGGCAATTTACAGAATTTTCTTTTTTGTGTGTGTGCGTGTTAGTGGAGGTACTGGGGATTGAACCCAGGACCTCGTGCATGCTGAGCATGCTCTCTACCACTGAGCTGTGCCCCCTACCTGACTTCTCCCCTCTTCTCCTCCTCTCCCCCTAGGTCAGCTTTTCCTTTCTGTGAGATGGTGGCTCTTTTATTATAGCACCTTCCTCAGTTAAACAGACCATTGATTTTTTTCTTTTAGTCCCATCACCTTTTGTAGTTACTCAGCTCCCATGCTGCTGTGTCATGATTATTTGGACGTGTGTCCCACTCTTCTCTATACTCGGCCACTTCCAGGAACCTTATTCATAATAGTGGCGACCACTGATCGAATGCCTGCTGTGGGCTGGGAGCTGCATCGTGCTTCTCATGCATTTTATCCAGTCCTCCCAGTGTTAAGTGGAATTTGCCTCATATCCAACTAAGAAAACAGAGACTCAGACGTCACAGAGGACAGGCGGCATAGGGTGGGGCCCTGGGGCTTGAAATCAGATCTGTGCCTAAAGTGCCTCTATTCTGTTTCCTGGCTGCTTCATGCCCTGTGGACCCTGCTGCAGGGTCTGTCAGTCACTCTGCCTATCTCCAGAACTAAGCAAGTGCCTCACCCAGGAAAGCTCAACAAATGGGGCAGCAAACGGATGAACTAAGGAAAAATTCATGTTTAAAATGCCTTGGGAGGAAATTTACAGCTTAAACTCAGTTTGTTTAGTTTTTTTTTTCTGATCATTGCATGATAACTAGATTTCATTTTTTTAAGCTTCCATAACGAATTTGGATTGTGGAAGTAGCCTTCTACTTATGTTAATGTTCTCAGGACCAGTAATACATGTGGACAGCCTGAAAGAGTGGTAACAATCTCTTCCTTTTTCTCAATTGGTGGCTGCCACCTAGTGATTTGAACAGTGATTGGGGGTCATTTGTTACACAGTAACACAACAGTTTTCAAAGTGCGGCCCGTAGACTCCTAGGGGTTCCCCAGTATCCTTTCTATGGGCCAATAAGGTCAAAACTGTTTTCATCATGACACTGAGATGTTATTTACCTTTGGCGTTTTGCTGATGTATACAGCGATGGTTCCGACGACGTAGGGTGAAACTGCTGAAGGCTGGTATGCACAGGTTTTTTTAAAAAAAGAATCAGTCACACCAAGAATGTCCTTTATGAGTTGTATTACATCTTGAACTTGGAGTACACGTTGAAAATGAACGCAGTGAGCCTCCCTGCACCATAAGGAAGGCAACTGTGACAATATTTTTTGCCAAAGATAAAATTTGAGCTTTCAAGTGAAAATGAGAATTTTGGGGGGAGGATATATAGCCTAGTGGTAGAGTGCATGCCTAGCAAGCACAAGGTCTTGGGTTCAATCACCAGCACCTCCACTAAAATACATACATACGTACATACACACCTAATGACCACCACCCCCCGCAAAAAAAAAAGAATTTTAGAAGACTTGTATCCACTTTGGTAAACTTGACAGCTTCCCAGTACTTAAAAGACTTTTCTGGTGAGATCCACAGTCATATTAACAAATATGATTTGTTTTAATACTGTGCAAGATAAACCAACAGATTCTAATGTAACAAAGTATGAAATGTTCATTGATAGGGCTTCAGGTTCCACACTGCAGCTAACCTTTACGAAACTACCACTTGTCCAGCTTTGGTGTAGTGTCAAAGGAAAATGCCCACAGTTATTGGAAGACCCTGTGAAAACAGCCTGCCCTTTTCCAGTTGTATATTTCTGTGAGGCTAGATTTTCTTCATGCACTTCAACCAAAATACGTATCATGACATATTGAATGCAGAAGCAGATATGAGAATCCAAGCATTTTCCACTGAGCCAGCCATATGAATAGATTTGTTAAGTGTAAAGCAGTGCTGCCCTTCTCACTAATTTTTTTGTTTTGTTTTTGAAAATATAGGTATGTCTAATTAAAAAACAGATGTATGTTAACGTATTTTTAAATTAGGTAATACATATTTTAAAATCTTCTCAGTTTAAGTTTTCAGTACAGAAAATACAGATAGCTATCACCTATAGAAACAAAAGCTCTTTGAGATCCTCAATAAATCTTATGAGTAGGAAGGGTTCCCAAGATCAAAAGGTTTGAGAGCCACTGTTGTGAAGGATATAAAAAGAGGCTGTTCTACCCAAATTAAGTAAAATTGGTCAGAAATTTTAGGATAAAATAAAAAATAAATCATTTTCAGTGCTTCTAAAGTTGGTTTTTAATGATAATAATATTTCTTATAATTAGCATGTTTGAATATGAAGTAGAATGGAAAGTGTTAGAAAGTTGTCTTTGTTTTTGCTTCTGAAATTGTCCATTTTACACGAGGGATGAATTTAATAAATGCTTTCAGTGATGGGCCCTTCTGTCTTGAATCCCCAAATAAAGAGATCTTGATTTGCTTATATTTAGAGTGTGGTGGCTAGTATGTGCAAATTTAGAAACAGTTACTCCAAGATTAGATACCAGTTTATTTGATTAAGATTTGTGGCATTAAAATTGAACTCTTCTGTGAATATGATAGAAGACATCACTCCTTCAGTATAATTGCTGGCAGTACTTAACCTTTATAAAGAAGCTCAGTCCTAACTATGTTACAATGAATGAGGAAAGGCAATTTGAATTAGGTTTACAATTTGCTGCAACTTGAAGTCTCGTTGGCTTCCTCTAATGACTCAGAAAGCATGAATTACACCTAGACTCTCCCCTTGGATGTCTGATGGTGTTTCCAGTGGGTGTTTCTCAGGTAGGCATAACCTTCCCTTTGAAATACCTTTCGTATTAGCAGTTGGCCGTGCAGATTTCCATTTCCGTGTGAATTCAGTACATTTCAACAGAGATCCTGTCCTGTCTCCTCTCTTCTTTCTTTTCCTCCTTCTCAAAGTGCCTGAGGTCTCTTGGTTGTCGACCTCAGGCTGACTCTTAATTTGCTCCTAGGATTGCTTCTGGAATTCTGTTCTCAGAACGTCTGCCCTGTCCTGCCTGGGCTCATTTGGGCTGGACCAGCTCAGGAGTCTGCAGTGGAAGAAATTCCGAGTCCACCTGAAGTACTTACACTTACACCCAGGCTGTGGGCCCCGGCTTTTTGCCAGTTGACACTGAGGTGAATGGGATAGTGGTGAGCCGCATAACGGTCACTCCACTGGCTTCAGGGTGGAGGACTCCGACAGGCACCCCAGACTCACGGTCTAAGCCGTAAGTGGGTGGCAGAGCCCAGGGGCCGCTGTGAGTGCCCTTCCACCCTGTGAGCCTTATGACCTCTCCTGCCTCAGGGGTGTGGGACACCCAGGGCCCCTGTGGATGGCTGTGC